CTCAACCATAAAATGGGCATTATTAGATAACCCATTGACAAGTGCTGTGACGATACCAGGAGACCACGATGCATCAATGAGTTAAGTTCTTCACCACCAAGAGCCATTGTTATCATTGTTATCACTGTTATCACTAAGAAGTTGAGGGTATGGGCACACAGAAGGCACTAGCTAAGTGGGGATCCTCAAGGTGCTAGATGTTCCCTCCTCAGAGGATTCTACCCTGACCACACTATTCAAAATAAATCTCCCCTATTAATCTTTTTACAGCAGAGGGTAGATACAGCTTACAAGTAGCCTCACAAAAATAGTCTTCTATAGAATGCTAAGGAATTTCAACTTCAAAATAGGAACTATGAGGGGCCACCAAAGGCTTGTAAGCATGAAGATGACATGGCGAAGTTGGAGATTTGGAGAGATTAGTTAAGTAGTTGGTTTCAAGATAGATTTGAAGGGGTAAGTACTTAATTGATTGCAGCAATACTGAAGGTTTATTAACTAATAATCTAAGGGACAAGGGATGAGGAAGCTGCAGGAACAAGGAGGATGAACAGAAATAATTAATTAAAAGTTTATTATTTTACTTTATTATGTTATATATGATCATATGCATATATCTACAACACATCCAGTTTCCTAAACAACTTTACCTTTTTTTTTTTTTTTTTTCTTGAGACAGAGTCTCATTCTGTCGCCCAGGCTGGAGTGTACCATCTCGGCTCACCGCGACTTCTACCTCCTGGGTTCAAGTGATTCTTGTGCCTTAGTCTCCCGAGTAGCTGGATTACTGGTGTGTGCTTCCATGTCCAGCTAATTTTTTGTTTTTGTTTTTTTGAGATGGAGTTTTGCTCTTGTTGCCCAGGTTGGAGTGCAATGGCGTGATCTTGGCTCACCACAACCTCCGCCTCCTGAGTTCAAGCGATTCTCCTGCCTCAGCCTCTCAAGTAGCTGGGATTACAGGCATGCACCACCACACCCGGCTAATTTTGTATTTTTAGTAGAGATGGGGTTTCTCCATGTTGGTCAGGTTGGTCTTGAACTCCTGACCTCAGGTGATCCGCCTGTCTAGGCCTCCCAAAGTGCTGGAATTACAGGTGTGAGCCACCACCGCCAGTCAATTTTTTGTATTTTTAGTAGAGATGTGGTTTTACTATTTTGCCAGGCTGGTCTCAAACTCCTGGCCTCAAGTGACCCGCCTGCCTCGGCCAGAGTGCTGGGATTACAGGCGTGAGCCACCATGTCTGGTCAACTTTACATATTAAGGTTACACATGATGTTATATAGAATCATATATATGTAGTATTTACGGTATAAATACATACAAACGTATAATATATAATATCATCAGCTATATAACATTGAGGAGACTGGATATAGGGAGTAGGGGAGTGGAAAATGTCCGAGATAACTCTCAGGTTTCTAATTTTTTATTTACTTTTTCCCAATGACACAGAACACGGGAGGAATTGAGGAAGGGCAAGAAGGATCAATGAGCTCAGTTTTGAGTCAATGTACCCGGGGAATATTCAAGTGGAGGGGCCCAGGAGTGAACAGGACATATGGGTCTGCAGCTCAGAAGAGAGCCTGGATCTAGGAAAAGGAATTTCAGAGATATCAGCATAGGGATAGCAGCTGAATCCTTGGAAGTGGAGATTTTACAGCAGCTGGAATTTACCCCATCTATGAGAAAAGAGTTGACTTGTTTGCTTTCTGGGAGGTAATTTGCCCCTGAAACTCATCTTACTTTCAGTAAGAATAGTTTTTTAAATTATAAAGCGCATCATATGTAGTGATAAGTGCGAAAACAGACCCAGGTAGTTAAGATGCAGAAAGACAATTAACTGCTGTAGAGGAATGAGCATGGGTGGGAAAATATCTGTTAGACAAGAGATGGGGGTGGGCAGAAGGAACTTCCCAGGCAGAAGGCACATCTTGTACAAGGACAGGGGAATCCAGGAGAGTCCATCATGTTTGGGGTGCACAGTTTAGTCTGGTTAGGAGAATGCCTAGTGGGACTGATCTGTAGAAGGCGTCATAAACCTGGCTTATCCTATTGGTCTAGGTATTTGGAAGTATCTTAACTCCTTACTTAGATTATATCTCAATTTCTCTCACTTCGGGGCTTTGTTCTTTGTTCAACGTTCCCCTTAAACCCCTTACGCAGCTTATTAAACACTGGCCACTCAGCTCAGGGGAAATCACCTATGTCACCGTGTCCCATTCCCAGCCTGGTTCCCATCCTCTGGCGTCTTGAAGCTGCTGAGTCTTCCCTTTATCATGGCACATCACAGTGCACAGGGCTCCTGCCTCATCATCTTTATACCCTCCATGCTTCACACATGGCAAATGCCGTCTGTTTCAGGAATGAGTAACCTTCCTTCTGATGAGGTCGCTCACCAGAAAGCTTCTCAAATGGGATAGACCTGTTTTCAGAAAAGGAATACATAATTTTTTTTTTTAAGGCGAAATTTTAAAATTATACTTCCAGTTTAGATAAGTCACAGGGTATGTAAAAATTAAATGTCATTCAGCATAATCAGTAATCCTAGCCAAGTAAGACTGCATGCAGAGGAAAGAAGATACAGACCTGCGTACTGGGATAAATTTCGACAGATCGGTTTTTTTGGGGTTTTTGTTTTTTTCTTTTTAACCAGTGATTCAAAAGACCTCTCCAGAGACCACAAAGAAGAGCCTGCTTGAGAATGAAACTAAGCCAGAGGAAAACACAATCAAGAGATAGACAGATTCCTAATCATATCATTGAACACCTGGACTTTTCAGTTACATGAACCAATACACGTTCTATTGTAAGGGAGTTGGAGTAGAGTTTTTGTTACTCGAGCTGGGAATCCTGACAAATTTGCTTACATAGCTGGGGCTACAAGTCTGATGCCCAAGTTCTTACGGCCTTAGTTTCCTCACGGAGACAATGAGAGGATTTAGCCCACATTGATAGCCTTAAGCACTACGGCGATGCCACTAGGGCTGGCATAGCCAGTTCTCTATCCCTAAAGGGGTCAGAGACACTAGGAAACAGTATTCAGTGCATATCATTCTGACATCTGTTGCTTTTATTCTCTGCATTAATACCAGAATTTTGACTCTACAGTGGTTTAGAAAACACATTTCCAGTCATGGAATATGGTTCAGAGTAGGGCTCGGCAAATTTTTCCTGTAAAGGGACTGATAGTATATATTTTAGGTTTTGTAGGCCACAGTCTTCATTGTAATTATTCAACTTTTCTATTATATGGGGAAAACAGTCACATGTAAATGCTTGGGCATGGCTGTGTTCTAATAGTTACTTTACATACACTGAGATATAAATTTCATGTCATTTTCATGTCACAATATAGTGTGTATATAGACATGTAACTTTTTTTCTCAACCACTTGAAAATGAAAACAAAACAAAACAAAACAACATTCTTAAATTGTAGGCATACAAAATGAGGTGGCAGAGGCGTTTGCTGAACACTGGACTAGATGTTTGCAGGCCTGGGTTCTACCTAAAGCTCCCCCATTAACCATGTGACCCTGGCCAAATTGCTTTGTCTCTCTGGGTTCTTGTTTTTCTCATCTGGACAACGAGGGGGCTATATGAGATGGTCTCTTTAAGGCCCTTCGGCTCTCAAATACCAGAATTCTTGTAGTTCATTCAATAAATATTTATTGAGCATGTATGATGTACAGCCATTGTTTTAAATGCTGAGGGTATAGCAGTGATACAGAGTTCCTGCTTACATGAAACTTACATTCCAATAAAAAGAGACAAAAAAATTTAGATATAATGTTGGTTAGGGGTAAGTGCTTTTGAGAAAATGGTGACGAAAGGATTGAAAAGTGACAGGGTTGTAATTTTAAAAGCGAGGCCAGGGACTGCCTCTTGATCATTAACATATGAGCAGAGACGAGTCAGGTGAGGGAGTGGGCTCTGCGGCTACCTGGAGAAAAAGCATTCTAAGCTACGGCAACAGCCAATGTAACTGCCTTCAAGGAGAAGCTCCCTTGTATTCAAAGAATAGCAAGAAGGCCAGTGTGGCTGGAGCACAGTGAGCAAGGGGAGAACAGCAGGCTATCCGGTCAGACACGTAGCGAGGGACATGTCATTAGGGCCTTACAGGTCTTTGAATTTTGGTGATGGAAAGCCACCAAGAAGAGAATCATTCTTAAAATGTTTAAAAATTGCTTTGGCTACTGTGTGGAAAATGGACCCTAAAGAATCAATAGCAAAGGCAGGGAGATAATTAGGAAGGTATTGTAGTAGTGCAGGGAAGAGATGATGGTGGCTTTAACAAAAATGTGATAGTGGCTTTAAAAAAAATGGTGGTGGTGTTGGAGGTGGTGAGATGGCTGGATTCAAGACGCATTTGGAAGGTAGAGTTGACAGGATTTGTTGACAGACTAGATAAGAGCTGGAGAGAAAAAGAGAAAACAAGGATAAACATGCTGGGACTAAATCATATTTTAGGAACAAATGATTACATACAGGAAATCTTTAACATTTAATTTATAAGGCAAGAATTACTCCTATTCTTTTATATAGTAGTATAAAAGAATCACAGATATATTTGTTGATTCAGGAAACTGTGCATATCTTAATAAATAAGAGACAGAGCTACAGAATACCTGGTTTCATACCACTTGTGCTAATGATTTTTGACATGCTTTGTTTTTGTTTGAGATGGTGTTTCACTCTGTCGCCCAGGCTGGAGTGCAATGGCACAATCTCAGCTCACTGGAACCTCTGCCTCCTGGGTTCAAGCGATTCTTGTGCCTCAGCTGACATGCTTTGAAAAATCTTTCCTCATGTGATACTCCTCCCCAGTACTGAGATATAAATTATAGAAAATCAACTGGTTAGGATATTTTGCATTTGATAAAATAGGAATTGAGAAGAAAATAGTTCATACCTATCTCCTCAATATTTCCTTCAATTCTTCACTCTTGTATATAAACCCAAATTATAAGTGACATAATTTTAGCAAACCAAAATAATTAACCAGTAAACCAAAGAAAAATTTTACCTTAAGTACAGATAACCTCCTAACACAGTTGACCAAGTTAACACCTGAAATTTAAAAACCTTTCATCAGACTGCTTTCAGCATATTTATGATACATACATTTATTCTTTTGAAATCTCTACTATGAGAGACTAAACATAGTATGATACTTGCAGAAATTTCCATTAACAACTTCTTTTCAAATATTGACATTTGCAATGGAAACAGCTGGTCTCTCTTCTCATCTCTAACAACAGAGGTAGGCAGGCATAAAGGGTAAAGAGAGTTGCCTCTGAGTTTGACTCTAGCCAGAACCCTCTGCAGAGAAGGCACTTACAAGCAGCACCCGACCTGGACATGCTGGCCAGAGTCCTGAGTGGAAACAAGCCTGTCAGAGAACTGCAGTCTATGCCATTAAGTGAATGAGAGAAGATATAACCACACAGACACCATCTTACATTTATTCACAGAGGGATAAGAATCAGTACAAATAATAAACAATGCTTTAAATACAAATAAATAGCTCTTGTTTCTAAAGGAAACAACTCTATATATTAAGTTTTTTCTAAGTTCCTATTAAAAATAGAAGACTATTTTGCATTATGTAAGTTCTACTCCACCATTACCCTTTGAAGACTTATGGATAAAATGGTGAATTCTATACTCCAAGAAGTCACCAGAAAAATGGGAGATAATGCTCCTACCTCTCTGAACTATCCCCCAAATAGGAGGAGAGTTACTTGCATCATAGACAGACACAGCTAACACATACAGAAAGTATTTGATGTCTAGAGATATTTAAAAAGATTAACCTCGGGAAAAGTAAAAATAATTTCATTGAACCAGTTTTATGAATTCTAAAACCTCCCTCTACTGAAGCTTTGATTCAAATGTCTTAAATTCATTTATACTCATGGGAAGATGTTAAGTTCCTATAACGAAAGCTTCCTCTTGCTAACAATGATAGTGATAAACAGTCTGTAATCACCAAGAATGGCACCTGGAGTAACAAAGTGATACATACCTGGTAAAGGAGCAAAGGTGCTGCCCAATTAAACAGTATGTCAAACTTGGCACCAAAATGACCAAAATGTGCTGAAGAAACACATCCCCAAATCTGTTGTTTGACTTATCTTTCTCTATTGTTATATTTAGGATGCTTAGAGTGAAATATCTAGAGGCAAGTATGTTCTCCAAGTGAAGAATTATTTCCAAGGCTTGCAGTCCTTTAAAACTACCTACCACACAAAGTCATCACAGTCTTGGTGCCAGAGTGGCATCTGTTCCATTGACTTTCTGTACCCACTGCATGTCCTCTCCTCGTCCTGCATAAGTTAATGCAATCTCTTCCACTTAGATCGCTACACAATTATTAGAAAATTGTATGTTTGATAGTGACCAATACAGCAATGTTTAGGTTTTCAAAGAAATTTTGCTTTTTCTATTTAGACTGACCATGATATAATTCCAAACAGAACATTCTCATGCTATAAAAACAATCCCATGCAATAAATGTAATTTTAAAAGTCCCATGAAAATAGCAACATTTGTTATTATAGAAGGCATGGTTATCTAGATTTGAAAAAAAATGATTGCTATAAAATAAAAGTTCAATTTCCAAATAGAACTTGTGTTGTGGTATAAAATATTAAATTTGATTCTAGTTTTAACACGAATAACTTTAAGATATACACCATGTTTTCCTAGCTGGGATTTTGAAACAATAAGCATAATTCTTAAACAGATTACCAGAATATTTGCTCAAAGAATCAGCTCCTTTTTGCAAAGAACTTTCTCTTTTTCAGTCCAGTTGGAGGGATTGCCATAGTTAATTCTGGAACAACAGTTCTGAACATGATTTAAAATCTGTCTCTCACTTCCCTCCCTGTCCTTTACTTTTTCTTTGTGTTGTAAAGACACATAAGCGTAGAAAAATGCTCAATTTTTTAATAGATGCTAATATATTTAGTTTCCTGATTTAAGTAATAACATTTTGTGTATTTGCCTTTTGCTCTGGCACACTATAGAATGTTTCTGGAGTTACAAATCCAAACAAACCAGCCAATTAGAGCATCCCAGGGTTCCAATCACAATTTGGGATACAATCCTATTTATTCTGGATGATGCTCAATTCCATACATAGTGCAGGGAAGAAACATCCATAAGAACATCCAAAAACATTATGTTACCAAATGCTAACATGTGATTGTGCTCCGTTGAATAGTACCATTCACATCTACAAAGTACAAAGGCAGACGATTTTAGGTGTGGAGACCAATTTGCTTTTGCTGCTACAGTAATTCACAACCATCATCTTCGAGATTTCCATGCTGTTCTAGAATACGGAGTAGTCCTTTTTTTATCTGGTGGTTTAAAGTAGGAATAAACAGGCGCTGCTGGATACTCTGCATCAGGATTTTCCGCCATCATTTTCAGTTTTGCTTCAATGGCTTTTATCTTTGCAGTGACACTGGAAAAAGAATAGCAGAGGATCAGAGTGGGCCTAAATACCTGCAGAAAATACCTGTATAGTTCATCTCTTTGAGCCTCTTGGGAATATTAGAGAAGCAACAAGACACTAAATTACAAACATTTAAACATTTTACATATGTAACTAATTCTCTCATTCTAACAAAGAGATCAAGTCTGAGCCATCTATTGTTTTTTTTTTTTTTTTTTTTTTTTTGAGATGGAGTCTTGCTCTGTCACCCAGGTTGGAGTGCAGTGGTGCGATCTCGGATCACTGCAAGCTCCACCTCCCGGGTTCACGCCATTCTCCTGCCTCAGTCTCCTGAGTAGCTGGGACTACAGGCGCCTGCCACCTTGCCCGGCTAATTTTTTGTATTTTTAGTAGAGACGGGGTATCACTGTGTTAGCCAGGATGGTCTCCATCTTCTGACCTTGTGATCCGCCAGCCTCGGCCTCCCGAAGTGCTGGGATTACAGGCGTGAGCCACCACGCCCGGCCATCTATTAAATTTTTAACATAAACCCAGACATTGTTAGGAGTACTTCATATATTTTTACATTTAATCCTCAGACGCAGACACTGTTCAGCACCTTAATGCTTGGCAGAGAGTAGGCACTAAAAATAATTCTTGTAGAATTGAAAACAACATTATAAGACAGGTTATATTCCTTATTTTGCAGATGTTGTAACTGAGGCACAGAAAGGTTCATTTGCCCAATGTTACACAGCGAGTAAGTGACAGAGCAGAGATTTGAATACAAACTGACTCAACAGCCCAGGTTTCACCTGAATCACTGAATAAAAATGGAAAGAAACCATTCTGGAAATCCTATACAGTCTCTTTTTATTGATGAATGTGTGTTAATAAAAACTATCATTTACAAAGTGCTTACAATGAGCCAGGCACAGTGCCCGCATTTTACTTATACTGTTTTTTGTTTTTGTTTTTTTTAGACAGGGTCTTGTTCTGCCACCAAGGCTGGAGTGCAGTGGTGCCATCACAGCTTACTAAAACCTTGAACTCCTGAGCTTAAGCAACCCTACTGCCTCAGCCTCCCGAGTAGCTAGGACTACAGGCACACACCACCACATCCAGCTGATTTTTTTAAACTTTTTTTGTAGAGATGGAGTCTCGCTATGTTGTCCAGACTGGTCTTGAACTCCTGGCTTCAAGTAATCCTCCTGCCTCAGCCTCCCCAAATGCTGGGATTACAGGCATGAGCCACTGCACTTGACCTACTTATTATGTTTTTAATCCTTGCAATGGCTCTACATGGGTTATCATCCATGTTTTACAGATACAGAAACAAATGTAGAGGTAGTAATATAATCAAGGTTCACACAGTTAACAAATTGCAGTGAGAATTCAACTTATCACTAAAGCCCTCATTTTTTCTTCTCTATCAAGTTAAGAGCTGAATAGTCTTATATTACACAGGAAGGGAGAGGAGATCCTAGAGAAGTGGTGAGGAATTTGCTTTTGATTGAGATCATTGCCATCCCTGGACCTGAATGCAGAGCACTCAGGGAGTAGGTATTTTTTGGCCTATGGCTACCTTCGTTTTCCATTCTTGATGCTGTTAACGGTCTATAGCCAGTGAGAGAAACTTGGAAGGAGTGTATACGTGGCCTTCTGGAGATCCTCAAAAGGTATACATGGGCAAGAAATTTAAAAACTAAGTTACAATAAAAAGAACACTGATGTATTACCGAGATGCATTCTGGCCCCTCTTCCATTAATGGCACAGTCGGTCACTGATTTTGTATGAGTCACAGGGAAGCAACCTTCTCTCATTAGGCATAGATGTTAATAGAGAGATGTAAGCTGCGGTCCTCTGGATAAAAAAATAGACGGAAAACCCTAGGCTATCTTGTAAACAAGTGGCATATACAAATCATAAGAAACTAAAGACATGTTCATTGTAACATGAAGACCATCAAGCACAAATGCAGTCATCTCTTTCCAATAGGAGTTAGATTTACGAAAACCTTCATGGAGATCAATCTGTGATCAAGGAGGTTCAAATCTCATGAGGAAAATAACACAGTGGATATATGTTCCCAGTGAATCTATAGAAGTCACTTAATTCCCTAGAGCAAAAATAAAAAAAATCATATTAAACTTAAATGAGTAACCATAAAATTAATTTAAATTTACCAATTTACCATTCCTGAAAACATTTCAGGAACACCTTCCCTTAGGTTTAATGAGATGCTTGTAAATCTGTTTTGCTTGGTGCAGGTAATATACAAGAAAGGCATTTATTCCCCCTGCTTGGTGCTCCACCCAAACAGGCATCACTTTCCTGACTTTAGGATTGTTGGTTACTGATCCTTATGTATCACTGATGCTCCTTCACATATTTTCTTCCCCAACCCCGGAAGAGGCTTTAGTCCTGCACTTATGGCCTGGGGCTTCTTTGAAATAGTAACTACAAGACTGAATTTTGAAGTCTAATAGACCTGGCTTTGAATCCTGACTGTTATTTGCCATCTGTGTGATCTCAGTCATAAGTAAATGACATACTGCATGTAACATGTTTAGCACAGTGCCTGCTTCAGAGTAAGCTCAATAAATCTTGGATATTGTTATTGCTAAAATGTCTCCCTAGGCTACAATGCAAAACAAAACAAACAAACAAAAAACCCACCTTCTACTTCTGCTCAACCATCCACTTAACTTCCCCTTCCTCTACCCAACCCTTAGTTCTCCTGTTTTAAACTTCAAAGAAATAACTAACAATTCGTACAAACTAGAACCAAAACTGTTATGGCTGTTGCAATGGTACACAGAATCAAATATCTGCAAACCAAAATTTTGTATAAGGGAACTTAAGATTGGGTAAAAATTAGTATATAATGACAAACGCCCAAGAGACCCAAGGCCTTATTAAAATGCTTGTTTTTAGGGTAATGACTGATCTGTCTTTGTATTTCCAGTGCCAAGCACAAGGGTTCGTGTGTAGTAGCTACACCCAGTCTTTTTCGAGGGAATGATTCTGTAAATGGGGACTACATGACCTTAGGTGGATGGAAGGAGAGGAAATGTATACATTCTGGAGACTAACTGAACATATCTCTTGTCAAATTAATAAATTCTAAGAGTCTGAAGACTCACTATTTTATGAAGACATGGAATAATGAAATGGCTGAAGCTCCTGAATTACCGTGTCTTTCTATAGTACATCATCTTACCTTAGGTTAGACTGAGTAGGCTCAGTGCTTGAGGATGGCTCAAGACTGATTGGAAGAATCTTATCATTCTTGTTATGATCGTATCTCTGAAAATGAGAAACAGAGAAATTACTTTGCTTGGGCAGAAACCAGCCCTTTACTGTAGTGTGTGGGTTCAGAAACTAATACCGTCAGTGCATCATCTTACTTCTAGACAATTTTAGGACTACTTTACATTTAGAATTAATGAAAAACGTCACATAGTTTTGGCCTAAAAGCTGTAAGTTTAGAAAAAGATGCCTCCATCTAGTCATCAGTTCCTCCTTATTTGGTAGGAAAAAAATGTCAACTTTCAATTTCTCAGATGGTACAAACACACAGGAGTGTTGCCTTCTTACGTTCTTATTTTAACTGTCACATATCGCCTCTTACAATATTTATTTTATTAAAAATACTTTAAACTGGCCAGGCACGGTGGCTCACGCCTCTAATCCCAGCACTTTGGGAGGCTCAGGTGGGCAGATTGCTTGAGCTCAGGAGTTTGAGACTAGGCTAGGCAACATGGCAAAAACCCTGTCTCTATTGTTAAAAAAACAAAAACCAAAAATTATCTGGGCATGCTGGCACATGCCTGTAGTCCCATCTACTCAGGAGTCTGAGGTGAGTGGATTGCTTGAGCCTGGGAGGCAGAGGTTACAGTGAGCCAAGATCTTGCCACTGCACTGCAGCCTGGGTGACAGAGCCAGACCCTATCTCAAAAAACAAAAAACCCTTTAAATTTTGCCAAGTACCAACCAAGCATAATATTCAACTCTTAACAGGCCTGAGTGAAGAATAAAAGTTGTAGCAGCTTTCAGTTGTTGATACAGAAAACATTCTACAGTAAAGTAGTAGTTTAATTTGATGTCAGATAATTACATACTTTTTTTTTTCTTTGAAAATTTTATTAGAAACAATAAAGACAGGGTCTCACTATGTTGCACAGGCTGGCCTTGAACTCCTGGGCTGAAGCCATCCTCCTGCCTCAGCCTCCCAAAGTGCTGGGATTATAGGCATGAGCCACCTGTCAGTGGTGTGTCAGGTATCAAGTATGTCAGGTAACTACAAACTTCTTGTAAAAAGTAAATATAATATTGAAGAGCAATCAAGAGCCTCTGGTCAAAAAAGATTTATAGGAGAAGAGAACCGTGAGGCAAAGAGATTTTCTTTTTTTTTTTTGAGATGGAGTCTCGCTCTGCCGCCCAGGCTGGAGTGCAGTGGCTGGATCTCAGCTCACTGCAAGCTCCACCTCCTGGGTTTACGCCATTCTCCTGCCTCAGCCTCCCCAGTAGCTGGGACTACAGGCGCCCGCCACCTCGCCCGGCTAGTTTTTTATTTTTCGTAGAGACGGGGTTTCACCGTGTTAGCCAGGATGGTCTCGATCTCCTGACCTTGTGATCCGCCTGTCTCGGCCTCCCAAAGTGCTGGGATTACAGGCTTGAGCCACCGCGCCCGGCGAGATTTTCAAATGAAAGACAGGAATGGAGGATGATTTCTCTTGCATGCCTTTTCAATGAGATGCAGAACGAGAAAACGGGTTTGGTAAATGAGACTTGATTTTCCCTTGAGTAAAAAAGCATTTGGTAATTCTCCTTGTTGTTTCTATTTTTAAGGCAATGTGTCCTAGAAATTGAGAAGGCTCTGTGATTACCTGGAATACTCAGAAGGATCTAAAGTATCTGAACTTAGTTTTTCAGCTTGGATATTGAGTTTAAATGTCTGTTTAGTCTCTGTGACTCTTTACTGGGAAGTTTGTTGGGGCGGGGGGTAGAGAGTCTCTGATCAAAAACCATGCTTAGAGCTAAAGATTTCAGTTCCAACTCAAAACTGTCACAAATCTTTGTGCACGCAGGTTTTTCAAGTCCCCACTGCAGAAGGAGGCAGATCAACTCTTGGGAACGCTCCAGTCAACACACTTTACCACCTCTGTGCCAGCTGGAACAGAATGCCATTTGTTTTGTTTTTTTTTTTAAATGGCTGAAGCTCTTCTAGTGCATTCTCCCAAGAGACTAATTACAGAATGCACAGGGCAGCCTACTGCTTCTCGGGACTTAAACACAATACAGGCACTGCAAAGCCCCATGAACCCACACCCTGGTAACTCCCAAGATTTCTGGAGTAAGGAGATGCCAGTGCTTTAAGCACTCATACAAACTACCCATTTCTCAAGCATTTAGAATAAACAAATTCAAACTCTCCAGAGTCAGAGGCTGGGAAGAGTCTAATAATGCCTATGGCAACTGATTTTAAAAATAAATACATTTTTTTCCTCCAAAGAACCCTCCACCTGAAGAAATGACAGAGGTCTGAGCGTAGTAATTATTGGCCACATGAGAAAATCAAAACCAGGATCTGTGGGCATGTGGAGAGAAATAACCAAGGAACTTAATCCCTCCTGAGATGTTCTCAAAAGAAAATCATCTGGTAACACACATGGCAGATACAAGTAGGAGCCTGAAGTATGGCTGTTTCTGGCGTGAAGAGATTGGGACATAAACGGGTAAGTGGATAACTGTCTTTCAGAAGGCTTATTTAGGATGAGGCTTGATGCCTTTCTAGCCTCTCAGACATACCTTTACTTGAGCATGTGCCCATCGCACCACCAACTTCTTGGACAGGGCCAGCTTGCCATTGAGACACTGGATGGCTTGCTCTGCTTCCTGTCCAGGAAAGGGACAAATGTTAGTTAAAAACTGAAGTGCTTAACTAGCTATATGTATTCTCACAGGGCCTCACTAGCTTTGATGGCTCAGTTTCTAACAAATTGTTTTTGGTAAATAACTGGCAAGGGTTTACAATTTTACAAGGCAGAATTTTAAAAAGGGCATTTTTTTTCTTTTGAGACAGAGTCTTGCTCTGTCACCAGGCTCTGGAGTGCAATGGTGCGATATCAGTTCACTGTAATCTCCGCCTCCAGGGTTCAAGCGATTCCCCTGCCTCAGCCTCCTGAGTAGCTGGGACTACAGGCGTGAACCACCATGCCTGGCTAATTTTTTTGTATTTTTTAGTAAAGACGGGGTTTCACCATGTTGGCCAGGACTGTCGCAATCTCCCGACTTCACGATCTGCCCGCCTCAGCTTCCCAAAGTGCTGGGATTACAGGCGTGAGCTACTGTGCCTGGCTAAGGGCGTGAATTTTTAAGTCAGTCTGACAAAAATTCAAATCCTGGTCTGTCATTTGTTGGCAGTATGATATCTGGCAGCTCACTTAAGTGTCTCTAGCTTTGTCAACTGTAAAATATAGATAAATAATACATAATTTTTAATAGATAATATGGATACTTATTCCTCAGTGGTTGCTGTGAGGACTCAAAGAATATAAAGCATGAAGTATATGATATGCACCTAACATATGCTAGTAATAGTGCTGTTCCCATTAGGTGATAGCCATATACACACTTCTGTTAGTTAGGGTAGCACCTCCTATGTCAAGAAACTATATTCCCCGCAAGGGCCCTGGAACCATATCCTGGACTAGGGCGTACTCTCTGGATTCATAGTGAGGAATAATTGCTTTAAAGGGCATGGGAGTCAAGGAAACTAGGCCGGAAAAAGCAGGAGTGAGTCAAACAGACCATTAGCAAGGTATCTGTGTGAGTCAATCTATGCACCTGGTTTTCAGAACCGAAAGTTCCTTGACCCTTTCCCCACCAGACACAGGAGTAATATGGTTGAAAGGAATTCCTGAAGCTGGCTAACAGTCACTCTGGGTCATTCCCAGGAAACCTGGCTGTACTTTCCATCCTGCCAAACCTTCTTTGCCCCATTTGCATCCATGAGACATTCGGCCAAGTGTAACCCATGTTTAGTGAGGGTGAAGAAATGCTTAAGGAACAGAGGAGGAATAGGATGTCCCAGGGAGCATGGAGAGGCTATAGAAGCCAGTAGGCATTCCAGTCTGGTTTTACTGGTGATTCTCTTGTTCCTACAGAACTTACCAGTATGACATTTAACAAATATTTACTGAGTTCTCACTGTGTAGTAGGCATTGGATATTCACTAATCATCCTTGCCCCACTACAGCACACAAAGCTAGAGTGTCAGGTAAGAAACATTTTATTCTTTTAAGCTTCATTTGGTGAATAAGAACTTATAGGGCACTCTATTAGTTCCAAAGTAGCAGCAGTTGCCAGCAGGGGCATTTTATTTTTAAATATTTTATTTTTAAATGTTTTAAAAAATAATTTTCTACCTGTATACATTATTTCAAATATTTTCATATATTCGAAAACATTAAATGCCCACTATGTTTTCTTATACTTTCATCTATTCTCCCAACTTCCCATAAGTTACAAAGGATATGTATTTTTAATTTCCTTTCTTAGATGGAAAATCAAGGCCAAAAGAAGTTAAGAGACTTGCTCAAAGTTAATAAATAAAAGAGCCAGAAATATAAACTAGGCTTTGTATTCTACTCCAGTGTTTTTAAGCTAACATCTATGCCCAAACATGACCACTGATTTTAGTTGTCTGCAACAATTCCCAGACCGGGCACAGTGGTTCATGCCTGTAATTTCAGCACTTTGGGAGGCCGAAGCAGGCAGGTTGCTTGAGCTCAGGAGTTTGATCAGCCTGACAACATGATGAACCCCTGACTCTACAAAAAATACAAAAATTAGCCGGTGTGATTGTGTGTGCCTGTGGTCCCAGCTACCTGGGAGGCTGAGATGGGAGGACTGCTTGAATCCAGGAAGTTGAGGTTGCACTAAGCTGTGATCGTGCCACTATACTCCAGCCTGGATGACAGAGAGAGACCGTGTCTCGGGGCAAAAGAAAAAAAAAAAAAAAAAGGAATTCTCACTGCACTTCATTTTATCACTAAGAAAGAATAAAATATTTAAAAATGCTGGCCAGGTGTGGTGGCTCACACCTGGAATCCCAGTACTCTGGGAGGCAGAGAAGGGCAGTTTGCTTGAGCCCAGGAGTTTGAAGCCAGACTGGGCAACATGGTGAAACGCCGTCTCCACAAAAAATGCAAAAATTAGCCAGGCATGCTGGCATGTGCCTGTAGTCCCAGCTATTGCAGCGGCTGAGGTGGGAGCATCACTTGAACCCAGAGGTCAAGGGTGTAGTGGGTAATGATTGTGTCACTGCACTCTAGCCTAGGTAACAGAGCAAGACCGCATTTAAAAAAAAAAAAAAAAAAAAGAATGCTAATTATATAGTGCATTATTTCACTTCACTCAAAATACTTGAACAATTAGAGTAACAATGTATTACTTATTGGCTATCACATTTTAGAGTAACAATGTATTACTTATTAGCTATCACATTTTAAAAAAATTAGAGGAAATAAAAAATACCCAGCACTGGCAAGGAGAAATGACACTACCATACAATCTCAGAACATACTGATATATCATTTCTTGAAGACAATCTCGCAGTTGTATTAAGAAAAACTATAGGCTGGGCATAGTGGCTCACACCTGTAATCCTAGCACTTTGGGAGGCTGTAGCGGGCGGATCACCTGAGGTCAGGAGTTTGAGACCAGCCTGATCAACACGGAGAAACCCTGACTCTACTAAAAATACAAAATTAGCTAGGCATGGTGGCATATGCCTGTAATCCCAGCTACTCGGGAGGCTGAGGCAGAAGAATCACTTGAACTCGGGAGGCAGAGGGTGCCGTGGGCTGAGATCGTGCCATTGCACTCCAGCCTGGGCAACAAGAGTGAAACTGTCAAAAAACAAACAAACAAACAAACAAAAAAACAAGAAAAGAAAAACTATGCATGGACTTTGATGATGCCATTCCATCTCCACAAATGTGGCAAATATACATAATTAGAACTGTAAAAATACTTACTTTTGTGATATTTATACTAGTGAATCAACCCAAATACCAGTGAAACAACCCAAATAGCTAATAATTGGGGACTAGTCAAATATTATATATTCACATTATGTAGTTATCAAAAATGATTAGTTTTTAAATGCAGTCTAAGTCACATACAATCACAAAATGCCCAAATCTCAGATACAGATCAATGATTTTACCTCCCCACACACACAGGTACATACAAACACCAGTGAAACCACAATATCAAGATACAAAATGGTATCTTGATGTGATTAAATGGTAGAAAAATTTTAGTATACTTTGAATGATAAACATGATAATATGATTCTGTTTGTGTGTTACAACACTGCAAAATGTGTGTTTATGTGCGTGTGAATGTGAAGAAACAAAAAAAGACTGGAAAGATATATGACTAAATGTTAACAGTGATTATTTCTGCATATTAGGCCAAGTGATTTACATTTTCTTTCTCAGTTATCTATATTTTCTTTCTTTTTTTTTTTTTTGAGATGGAGTCTCACTCTGTTGCCCAGGCTGCAGTGCAGTGGTGCGATCTCGGCTCACTGCAAGCTCCGCCTCCCGGGTTCACACCGTTCTCCTGCCTCAGCCTCCCGAGTATCGGGGACTACAGGCGCCTGCCGCCAGGCCCCGCTCATTTGTTTTTATATTTTCAGTAGAGACGGGGTTTCACTATATTAGCCAGGATGGTCTCGATCTCCTGACCCTGTGATCCACCCGCCTTGGCCTCCCACAGTGCAGGGATTACAGGAGTGAGCCACTGCACCCGGCCAGTTATCTATATTTTCATCTATAATATTCACACATTAATTTCAGAATAAAGAAAAACACTCATACAAATTATTGTTATTATTATGAGATGGAGTCTTGCTCTGTCGCCCAGGCTGGATGGAGTATAGTGGTGTGATCATAGCTTGCTGCAGCCTTGAATTCCTGGGCTCAAGTGATCCTCTTGCCTCAGTCTCCCAAGTAGCTAGGACTATAGGTGCACCATCACACATAATTAAAAAAATTTTTTTTAGAGACAGGGTCTATGTTGCCCAGGCTGGTCTCAAACAATCTCCCCATCTCAGCCTCCTGGGTAGTTGTGATCACAGGTGTGAGCCAGGCCCAAATTATTAACATAACATTAACTACGTGATGTTCTTACATATGATGAATAAATTTATAAGTACTATGCAGCATCTCTACATTTAGTAACAATCAAATTCAATTTCTTTATCAATGCACTTCCACTTCAAGGACTAAATTTTAATACAAGGAGATCCATGTATATATCATAGTTGAAGGTGAATGCTCTCTTCTACATACATTAAAATTTATATGCATTTGTTCTGAGACCTTGAGAAGAAATAATAAGTGTCTTTGTGGGTGTCTCATCACAGGTAGGTTTCTGTACCACAGGGCAAAACTACTGAAAGAAAAGAAGGCTTTGTCAGTTGGCCAGCCAGTAAAGCAACAAACAAAAGAGAATAGACAGGGGGATGTACATGTGCTCAATGTGGGCATCCCAATGCATTTGGTCAAAAATGTAGGTCAGTCAGTTGCCTTAAACCTTGGCCAAGGGAGAGTGAATTGTGAAAGTCACTAATTCATTTGTTTACTGAGGATCTCTTTTAGGACTCAATGTAAGGCACACAGATGAATCAGATATGGCTCTTGCCTACAGGGAACTGCTATTCTAGTAGGCAAGAGAGATGCACAAATAATTATGACAGAGTTTGATAAATACTATAAAATGGGTAGAAAGCTTAATTACCTGCTTAGTTTCAAAGTTAACAAAACAGTAGCCTCGAGGCTGTCCCTCCAAAGCACCTGACTTGTGGAAGAGGAAGTCAAACTGCTTTACTTTGCCAAACTTCTGGAGGAGCTTGAGGAGGTGGTATCTGCGGAGAAAGAAGAGTCCATGAGTATGCTCTGGGAATTCTGTTGGCCACTCAGCCTGAAGTGTGAGACAAAAGCAGGAGATAATTTACCCCAGGGATGAAATCTCTCACCCTAGCCCCCTGCCTTCCTCTAAACTGCTATGTTAGTTTATTTGGCAAACAGAGTTGTTTGCCTCTATTTGGAATGGGAACTAGAATTGTCATGGCTATGCATCTGTCCAACACAAAAATACCAAACAAAAAAACCACACCTTACAAACAGCTGTCTGGCCTACAAGCCCTATTTGTTTTTCTTTTGTTGAAAAGCTCAAAAATAGTGTTGATTTATTTATTTGTAATTCCTTGGCAATGAAATAGCATTTGTGAATACCTATAACTCCATTAGAAACACATACCTACCCTCCAAAAGCCAAAGCCTACCCTATCTCAAAAATAAACAAAGTAACAAACATACATGCATTCATGCACACAAACAAACAAAAAAAAACAGTCCTGGAAGATCTTCCTATTTGATTTTGTAGTTAATTCTTAGACCCAAATTGCACTTGTGAGCAACTCTACCATTAATCAAACCACAGCTAGTGATACTTCCATAGCACTTGAGAGTTTCAGCGACTGATATGACTGAACATTAGGACAATGTGGAACAACTATGCGACTGAGGCCGGTTTCACAAAGGGCAGGGGAACCCGGCCAGTCCTACAAATCATCCAGCTATGGGTAACTAACCAACCTCAGTTGCTTTGAAACAGTTTATACTCTAGGGTATAGTCAAGTAAAGAATACAGATGGTCAAGGAAGAAATTTATTCCTGGCAGGATGTTCACTCCAAGCTATTGCTTACCACTCTGCCCCTCATCCTCTTCTTAAATTCCTTACTCCAAAACTTACTTGGTTTCTATAGAGCTTTTAAGTTATTCAAACAGATGTGGCCTTAACAGGTTGCTGTGGCCAATCTCAATTCCGACTTCCTGTCATCTGATGTGGGGGTGAGACAAACCAACAGCTCTCCCGTTTCCTTTCCCTTTGGCCTTCCTCCTGGCATCCTCCATGCTATTCAAATGGAGTCAAGGTTTTCTCTAAACAATGCTGTCCCTGTGATACTAAAAAGGTATCAGCCCACATGCTAAATCTGTTATTACTGGGAATTCTACCCCACAGGGAGTCAGTAAAGTTGTCGTTATAGCCACATTTATATTCACATTGTTTTCTAAGAGAAACTCATCAAAATTTTATTCTTGAGCAAGAATCTCCTTTGGGAGGCAGAAAGATATGAAATGGACCATACACTACACTAAATTTGATACTAATGCACACCAACAAGCAAGTCCATTATCCTGGATCGAGTGTCTGACACAGTGGAACAAGACAGACATAATACAGGTTTACTGGGACAAATGCAAGGATCCCAAGGCATATTGTGGATATTAATCTGGTCTATTTTGAAAGGTAAAACAACCATGATCTCCTACTTTCCAACTTCCCAACTCCCATCAGGACACCTCAACCACTAGAGAGAATGTAGGAAGTGACTTCTGGGGAAAGGAAGACACCTTAAGTGCAAATGTGTGGTTTTACTTGACTTTTAAATAGGCTTACAGCAAGGGTGAGTCTCTCACACACAAAGATGGGCGAGAAGAGTCTCCCCCAGGATATTTAATTCACAGCTGCATCTTCCAATTACTAAACTCATCCAAATCTTTACGCCGTGCCAGTTGCCACAGAATGGGGAGTCAAACCTATTCTAAAAAATAAAAAAATTAAAAAAATAAATACATCTAGGCCAGGCGCAGTGGCTCACGCCTGTAATCTCAGCACTTTGGGAGGCCAAGGTGGATTGCCTGAGGTCAGGACTTTGAGACCAGTCTGGCTAACATGGGGTGAAACCTGTCTTTACTAAAAATACAAAAAAATTAGCCGGGCAAGGTGGCACATGCCTGTAGTCCCAGCTACCCAGGAGGTTGAGGCAGGAGAATCGATTGAATCCGGGAGGCGGAGGTTGCAGTGAGCCGAGACAGCACCATTGCACTCCAGCCTGGATGACAGAGCAAGACTCCATCTCAAAAACAAAACAAAACAAAAAAACAACCAAAAAAAAAATCTAAGGCTACTGTGGGCTGGTCATCTTTTCATTAGCTCCATTCTACTTAATAGCAGGAAGGTAACACGATTGGCATTTCCTAAGGAATGAATTTTAATTTACTCAGAAAAAAAAAAAAAACCACACACACACTGACAAAAGATTACTCTTTGTAAAGCTAACAAACACATTCTGCCCAAGAAGTGCGACCTTAAGATTCCAGGAACATCTGCTTAGGTCTGTGTCTTTCAACTTCTCCAGAATTTCTTTTCTTGTTTGATAATTTCTTAAAACTATCGGAACACCGAAACAAAAGAAATGAAATGTTTACTATTTTGCTTCCTGGAGATGGGAACTGCAGGCTCTGATAGTGAAAAAAGCCTGAAGGATCTTGCTTTCACATCTGCAAGCACTTTTATCTGCTGCTGAAGTGCGGGAGAGCACACTACTCAGTATAGGCTTGCTTCACTTAATGACGTGCACCCTGCAGCCTTCAGGAGCTAGAAAATTAGCACACCAGCCCCACACATATATCTGCAACTTAATCAGTGTTTTCTGTAATTGGTCTTTAAGACAGCTTTTCTGCCTAATGGCACAGAAGTAATTAATCTATACAAATGTTAAAATAGATACCTACAATGTGTCTAGAGCCAAGCAGGCATATGGGCTATGCAGATGAATAAAACTAGGTTCCTGCCTTCAAGGACCTCACATTCTAGTTAATAGAGAGAAAGACGTAATCAAACAATTACAAAACAATGTGATGCTTGTACACAGAGGGGATGAATATGAGTACACAGAATGAAGACCAACGGTGCAGGGAAGGTGGTGGTTAAGGAGAGCTTCGTGAAAGGAGTGATATCTGTGACTGGGTTGTGTCAGTGTGAGTGAGTACTAAGCAATGTGCAAAGACAAAGGTGAAAAAGGGTCTGATCCATTGGAATAGAGTGGGGGTAGCCAGTAAGATGGGGCTGAAATGTAGGCAGAGGACAGGTTGTGAAGGATGTCAGGGGCTGAGGAAATTTTAATTTCATGTTGTAGGCAATTGGAAGCCCATGAAATGACATTTAAGATTATTTTTGGTGCACAATTTGTTGTAGAGAAAATTTTCTTTATAAATGTATATAGAAATTACTATGAGATGGGTATTTATGTTTTATGCTAAGTACATTATTAAATGGTCTTGTTGTGTTTCCAATTTAAGTAACCAAACAGTGAAGGCCATTTCATGTAAACCAAGTCATAAAAAGAAGTATGGACAATGAGGAGACATAAGGAACAGGCTGAGAGAGAAACAGGTTTCTTCCGGGGTGAACACACTGTTCTCCCATGCTCATGCATTTATTTTCCCTTGCATTCCAGCTTACCTAGTTTATCCCTGAAAGTCTGTATCAGGAGGACATTTCCACCTGGATGGCTCGCCACTGCTTTTAAGTTTACTTAACATACCGCAAACTGAATTCCTCCCTGCCACAAACTGATGATCCTTCCAGCTATTCCTCGGGTCAGGGGGGACATGATCTTTTTATATTCCTCAGGTAAGAAATCTCAGGATCACCTCAACCTTCCACTCCATTTCAATCACCTTCCTCATCTCAGACTCACTCATCAGTCTCCAAGTTCACTGTCTCTATCTAGGTGATAACTGATGGCAAGCCTGGTTCATGGCGATCTCTGTTAGCTAATCTTCATCTTTAGTTTCTGCCCTTCCAATTCATCCTACATATTGATGTAAAATTTCTCTACTAACACATCATTGTCTAGCCTGGGCAATATAGTGAGACCTCATCGCTACAAAAAAAATTAGCTGAGTGTGGTGGCACACGCCTGTACTCCCAGCTACTTGGGAGGCTGAGGTGGGAGGATTGCCTGAGGCTGGGAGGTGGAGGTTGCAGTGTGCTAAGACTGAGCCACTGCACCCCAGCCTGGGCAACAGAGTGAGACTCTGTCTCTAAAACAAAACAAACAACAACCACCAAACCCACATCACTTCATGATGTCAGTCTCCCACTAAATACCCACAATGAGTCTCTTTTTCATGAAATTCAGACTTGTCTGAATGAATTTTAAAGACCCTGTCTTAACCTGAGAGTATTCTATCAATGCAGCCACTATTTTCATTCCCATCCAGTATTCAAACTTTGCTTAAGTCAGAAAGATCTTCCTGATTATCTACTTACACATAACAATCTTTCTTACTCCTACTTATAGGCCTTTATTTACGATTTTCCCTCCACTCAGAATCCTCTATTAGCATTTCTATGGGCTTTGTTCTCTTTCATACTTCCATATGCACAATACAGTGGCTACAAATTTGGCATTTTACACAGCACAACTAATACTTGAAAAAGAAAGTCAGTATTATCCCTTTTAGAAAGAAAACCACAGTGTAGAAAATAGATAATGCCTTAGATCATTAAGTTTTTCAGCTTCTTTGTGGATGGCACTAATAATGATATTCAGAGGTACTGCTTACACTTACAGTTAGATTGGGTCTCATAACAATGAAAAAGAAAACCTTACATTTTAAGATATAAAATAGGATACTTTTGATTATGACTGTTCAAAAATTAGAATATTTGTGCAAACAACACTAAATTAGGCAGTGGGAAATTATCATTAACTACTTCAGTATACTGAGCCAACTTAATTCACTCTTCATTTCCTATATAATAGGGAAAACAATATCTGTTCCACTTACCTCACAAAGTTTTAAGGGGCTTTGTAAGAGAGATTCGTATGGTATTAGAGCTAGAAGTAATGCTCAGATCATTTAGTTGAACATTCTCATTCTGTAGGTAAGAAATGATTACATATAATATAGTTGACAGGAATCAGAATATAGTGGAAAGAACATAGGTTTGGAATGTACTACCTCCATAAACAAGAATGCATCATCACTCCCTCGAATCCTAATCTCCAAGATCTATTTAGTCATACAAATATTTCTGGCATCTAACATAGCCCTAAAATGGTCAGTATTACAACCAGAGAGTGAACACAAACAAACAAGAAGAATAATATTAGAGTGCTAGACAGTCAGAAACGCATATTCTGTTGGGAGGAGGGTGACAGACATCCTAGCGCAACTTGAGCAGGACTCAGATTAATAATCAACAGGCACACACACATAGAATGACTAGAAATAATCACAGAATAAACTAAAAAACTGGGTGGAAAAGTGGTTATTTTAAAAAATTGCCATTGTTTTACATATTCATTCATGACAGTAAGTTTATATTGTCTTCTAACAAGAGGTAAAAGAATATTTGAAAGGGAGAGGTATTCAAATCAGTTTATAAAAGAGATCAGGTAGAGAGTAGGGACACATATAGGAAAGAGACTGGGAAGAAGGGTCTGTTGAATGGGGAAATGGTAGGAACTGGCAGCAATATGTGGCAGAAAGTAGGTTTAAACAGGAAAGCTGGAGGATGCTCTGCAAATTTCTATTAAAGAGTCATTAGAAATTTAGAGATTTGGATTCAAGCAATACTTTTTGAGACTGCACTCCAAGACAGGTACCATATATTCACATAAGTTTCATTATGTAATCCTTCAATGTGTTTGGGAATGACTGTATTTTATAGTTCATCCAGGCTCACCATTACATGCCCCGAGAGGAACAAGATCCAGAAGTTTCTGTATTTCAAAAACATGGAAGGAAATCATCTATTTCTACAAGGTAAGATTTACTTTACTAAAACGTCAGGTTCCTTTGCTGTAATTAAGTAAATTAAATGAGGTAATATTAACATTTTATGTTAACCATAAGCTATGACTGGTAGTTATTTCTTTCTTTCTTTTTTTTTTTTTTTTTGAGATAAAGAGTCGCCAAGGCTGGAGTGCCGTGGCATGATCTCGGCTCACTGCAACCTCCTCCTCCCGGGTTCAAGTGATTCTCCTGCCTCAGCCTCCTGAGTAGTTAGGACTACAAGCACCCACCACCATGCCTGGATAATTTTTGTATTTTTAGTAGAGACAGGGTTTCACCACATTGGCTAGGATGGTCTGGATTTCCTGACCTTGTGATCCACCCACCTCAGCCTCCCAAAGTGCTGGGATTACAGGTATGAGCCACCACGCTTGGTGGTAGTTTTATCTTTAAGGATAAATTTATTACAATTTAATAAACTAGTCTGTTTGACAGATAAAATGTTTTAAGGTAAAGAATCCATAGGATGGCCAGGCATAGTGGCTCATGCCTGTAATCCCAACACTTTGGGAGGCTGAGGCAGGAGGATCGCTTGAGCCCAGGAGTTTGAGACCAGCCTAAGAGACATACTGAGACCCCTATCTCTACAAAACAAAAGCAAAAAACAAAAAACTAGCCAGGCATGGTGGCGAGCACCTGTAGTCCCAGCTACCCAGGAGTTCCAGGCTGCCATGAGCTATGACTGTGCCACTGTACTCAAGCCTGGGTGACAGAGCTGTGAAACAAACAAACAAAACAAAACAAAAAAGAATCCATAGGAAAAAAAATAATCAAATGGTCTTTGGTGATACAGAAGTGGAGAAACCAGCCACAGGGAAAGCCCAGCACTTCCAGCCAGCACGCTCTGATCTACAGTTTATTACTTGATGTCTACCTCTGGCCTGATGTAAAAAGAGCAGAGATATCAGTGGGAAAGTTCTGATTCAATGTTCCTGCCAGTGTTCTAATTGGAAAAAAACATCCACACACTCCAACTTATGACATAAACTGAGGTGGCAAATGCCCGTTTGAATCTTCCTGTCAAGCAGCAGGACACAATTAGAACAAAAGTCTCATTACAGAGAAGTGCGGCCAACACAACCAACGTTGTTTCCACACTTTAGATTTCCATTTAGACAGACAGAGGTGGGAATGGAAAGCACTATGAGCATTCCCTCATAGCTTGGGTTTTGGATGATGGAAAAAACTTCTTTGATGAAAAGACATTAGTTGAGAGGTTGTTCAGATTCATAAAGTCACCCTCAAAAGCCATGAACCATAAAAGAGAACCGAAATAAATGCAATCTACTCTAGGGTCCCTGTGACCAAGATAACATAATATATGGGCAACACATCTTAAATACCGTCATAATTTCTAAGGGAATTAAATGTATTTACATTTGGTTGATATGAGCTTGAGTAGGTTTAAGGAACTTTTTGTTATAATCCTGATTTGTAAGTTTATATCCTTTTTTTTCTTTCTTAATCCTAACTCTCATATATACCTTGTCTCATCTCACACTCAGAGAAGCAGGTCTCCTCATCTCCTCTCTCCACCTTTTTTTTTTGACACAGGGTCTCCCTCTGTCACCCAGGCTGGAGTGCAGTGGCACAATCTCTGTGCACTGCAACCTCCGCCTCCCAGGTTCAAGCGATTCTTGTGCCTCAGCCTCCCAAGTAGCTGGGACTACAGGCATACACCACCATGCCTGGCTAATTTTTTTATTTTTAGTAGAGACGGGGTTTCACCATGTTGGCCAGACTGGTCTCAAATTCCTGACCTCAGGTGATTCACCTGCCTCGTTCTCCCAAAGTGCTGGGATTATAGGCGTGAGTCACTGTGCCCGGCCTCCCCTTGTCTTTAACACTGTTCCAAAGGGAGTAACTTCTAGGACTGATGATATGCTCAAAACTTGCTTTCGGCCTGGCACGGTGGCTCAAGTCTGTAATCCCAGCACTTCGGGAGGCCAAGGTGCGTGGATCATTTGACGTGAGGAGTTCGAGACCAGCCTGGTCAACATGGTGAAACCACCTTTCTACTAAAAACACAGAAATTAGCTGGCATGCTGGCGCTTGCCTGTAGTCCCAGCTATTTGGGTGGCTGAGGCACAAGAATCGCTTAAGCCAAGGAGATGGAGGTTGCAGTGAGCCAAGATTGTACAACTGCACTCCAGCCTGAGCAACAGAGCAAAACTGTTTCAAAAAAAAAAAAAAAAAACCAAAAAGAAACAAACAAACAAACTGGCTTTCAGCATTGACCTCATACAGGCCAATCCACTCATTCTACTCTGCCACCAACCACCACCCTCCCCCTATCAAACAACTGGCAGAAGGGAAAAACCTTTCAATTTTCTCAGCTAAGAAATTCCTTTTCATCTTAATGGCTGTGATGTAAAAGAGCAGGGAGTCAGGGCAATTCAATCAGTTTCGTGATCTTGGGCAAGGTACTTCTGTCTTTCGGGACTTGGTTTCCTCTACTGTAAGATAAAAAAGCTGGGTCCCATCAGAGGTTGTCAAGTGTGCTCTGTGGAGCCCTAGAAGTTCTACAGAGCCTAAACAGGGATGGCCAAAGAAAGGGTAGTAGTTGACAAAAGATTTTGGCTCCATCTCTTCTCCCTTTTAGTCAGAGCAACTCTGAGCTGTTATTTTATATACAGCTCTGATTATTACTTTTACTTTAAAACAGGGTTCTTCAGATTTAAGAAGTCTGAAAGCTGCTTAGCATGGCACTTGGCACTCAAATCATTTAATGAATGAATGAAAACCAAAGGGACATGGATGATTTCTAAGATTCCTTACAACTCTGACCTTCTATAGTTCTATGGCTGCTTAACATGAACTACAGTCAAGGGGTCTCCTCTGCCTGTTTGCAAAGGTACTGAGACTTCTGCTTGTTCCTTCATTCTGGGTACAAATGTATTCCCAAGGCTGATTCTAGAGAATAATTCCCTAGAGCTACTAGGTACAAGGATTCAAATAGTTGGAAATGGGAGAACGTCTTTGGCAGATAGGAAAAAACAGGTATATGGATTAAAGGATACCTAAGTCTGTGTCCTTGCAGTAGCAGAGTCCAAACGTAAAAAAAGTGACAAGATAACAGGCTAACAACAACATCTTATCTCTTCAAAGATAAGATGTAAGTAAAGGGGTCAAACTATATCCCACACCACTTGAAAATTCTTCTTGACATCACCACCACAAAACATTCCGATATTGTAGGTAAAGAACTAAGGTAATTTAGACTCACTCTGTAATTTTGGGGTCCAGGTTGCCAATCCATAATCGGTGTCCTTCCTGCAGAGAGCCCTCTGAAAGGATGGATGCATTCTCCAGGGGAAGAGTTTTGGTTTCTGCTTCCATCAATGTCTATGAAATACTAAAGGAAATGTGAACATTCAGGCAGGAGGGGAGTAACAAAGTGTGAACACAAGACTTCAAATTCAACTCAACAAACATTTACTCAAGGAGGGCATGCCCTCTGGGCAGTCCTTCAAAGGCCTCAGTGATTCCACAACCAGGGCTCCAGAACCAGTTCCCTTGGGACAACTGCTCTGGCAGCCAGAGCACATAAGCTGCCATTTAAGGTGAAAGGGGCGTGGTTCTGTGTGGAGAAACTAAAGTTTTCCTCCTCTGTAGCCAGAGGCTGACTGGGCAGGAGGCCAAAGTCTCTATTACTACATGATACTTTAGTTCAACAACTGTCACCCAAAATAAGCCTTGGAAACCACCAGGAAGAGTCTTAATGGCATTAAAAGGGATGGGGAGGGAAGAGCAGCACTCCATCCCTTTTCCTCAAGGAAGAGACAATACAGCAAATAGAAGAGGCCATATAAGAAATCTGTGCATAGATAGAACTGGGTTTGAAAGCAGGTTGTGTGACTTGATGAATTACCTGAACTTTCTAGGCCTCAGTTTCCTCATTATCTAAAGAGATAACAGTGCTTATTTTATAGAGTTGTTGTGAAGATTAAACAGTAAAAAATCACTAAATACTGTATCTATCAACAATAAGTAATCAATAAATACTAGCTATTATCATGTTTATTCTTTTGGGACAGACCAGGAAGAAGAGACTAATTTCCTCCTTAGTTAGTCAAGTTCCACCATTTGCTAGCTATGTAGCTCTGTGCAAGTTACTTAACCACTGTTGGCCTCAGTTCCCTCATCCGTAAAACGGGAATAATGCCTCATGAAATTAGGGTGCAGATTCACTGAGTTAATATACCTAAAGCATTTAGAACCGTGCATGGCACCTAGGAAGCACTCAATTAATGTTAGCTTAAATTATTACCAGTCTTAGTTCCTGAAATGTCTCATCTCACAGTCAAGGAGAACACAGGATTATGATGGAGACAGCAGTAGAAAGAGCAGAAAGCTTGGCGTCAGAAGACATTGTTTCAAATTGTGGCATTTTTTTTCTTTCTTTTGAGACAGACTCTCCTCTGTTGTCCAGGCTTGTGGGTGGTGGCACATTTCGGCTCACTGCAACTTTCACTTCCCGGGTTAAAGCGATTCTCGTGCCTTAGCCTCCCGAGTAGCTGGGATTACAGGCGCATACCACCAAGCCTGGCTAATTTTTGTATTTTCTTGTAGAGACAGGGTTTCACCATGTTGGCCAGGCTGGTCTTGAAGTCCTGACCCCAAGTGATCCGCCCACGTTGGCCTATCAAAGTGCTGGGATTACAGGTATGAGCCACCATGCCCAGCACAAATTGTGGCATTTCCACTGGAAGTTACTTCTCTCTGAGCTTCAGTTTCCCCATCTTTAATAAATTTTGCCTTGTTTAAAACTTAAGGCTTCAAGGACCAAAAATGAGATGACAGATGTAAAATAAAGCTTTAGGGGCTGGTAAGACAGCAGGCTGTGCCAAAATTCAGAAATCCCTGCTAGAGAACACATGTCCTATACCCAGAAGTGCCTCAGAGGTCAGCACTACAGGAACCGTGAGGTCAGTCACAACAACTGCCATTACCGCTTATTCATCTCAGCACACCCTATAAAGTCTAGCACAGCAGTCCCTAGTTAATTGTTTATTGAATACCCTGCACATGAGGTATCGTTCTTCCTTTCCCATTCACATCTTTAAACTGTTCAGCAATGTAAGCCAAGCAACTAGGAACTGTTAAACTCTGGGCTATGTACTGAAATAGAGAAATGAAAAAGACACACAGCTCTTGTTCTAACCTCCTGGGAGAAAGGCAAAATAGATATAAATTTAATCCCAGGGGAGACACATTTTGTCTTCTCTCTGCTTTCCTTTTTCCCTACTTTTTAAACAAATCATTCATTCAAAAAATAAATTCACTGTTTCTATTATCTAGGACTTATCTAGTTACTGGAGTCAGAGCAGTGAACAAGCAAGGTCCTTATCCTCTGGATGCCTATGTTTGGAAGGAGAGCAGGACAAAACAAAAGCAAAATAAATAAAGAAGATATAATTAGTGATACATGCCACAAACACAATTAAGCAGGGTGATGTGACAGGCACTGGACGACTTCAGATTGAGTGGAGGGAAGGCTTCTCTAAAGGAGATGACATTTGAGACTTGAATGACAGGACATTCTGATTTTCTCATGTCTAAAATCAGCAATAATACCAATAGCTATTAATACTTATTACCACAAAAAGGTACCATGTTTTACGCTAAGAGTGCAGGATATGTGGGTCTGGATTCAAATCCCGCCTTTTGCACCTAGTAACTGTGCCTTTAGCAAGTCACATGATCTTTCGGTATCCTCTCCATAGAAAAGCTTTCCTTAACAGAGTCCCTTGTTATTCTATATCATAGCCACCTTTCCACATTTTTCCTCCTATATAATGCTAATTCAATGTATTATTTAACGATTCCCTTTCTGTTTCCTTCACTAGAACATAAGCTCCCACAGGACAGGACCTTGCCAATCTTGATCATGGTTCTATTTCCAGCACTTAAGTACACTGCCTGGCTCACGGCTGGTGCTCAATATTTACTAAATGAAGCAAGTCATTTCTCCACTCGGAGCCTTAGTTTCTTTTTCCTTCCTAGAATGGGTACAATTATTTCTGTCTCATGAGGTCGTTGTGAGTCTTAAATAAGACAATTTTGGTGACAGCTCAGTATATGGCTTTTTGAGGAACGGTAAAGGGTAATAAAAGATCAAGACGGCATGGGACTACCAAAATGCTTTGCTTTTGCAATAGCAACAAGCCTTTAGACTACCAGATTTCACAAAACGCGGTTACATTCATCCTTCCACCTGAGCTGCAACAACCCTGGAAGCCAGAAATAGTCATCTGGGGAAAGTGCAATCCAGAGAAGAGGAGACACTTGATTCTAAAAGCAAGCGGTTGGCCAAGCCTGGAACCCTGGCTTCCCGATTTCTGGCTGCGAATTCACACAGGCGAGGGGTCATTGCTCGGATTGTTATTTCCGGGCCAGCGACAGGACAATCCGGGGCGGGGCCTGAGATGCAGTCCCGGAGGGCGGCCTCCTGTAAGACCTCTTCGCGGGCCCAGCGCTGAGGTGCAGGGACATGTCGCGGCCGAACTCACCTCGTGGCCTCGGCGTGGTGCTCTCAGCTCATGCCCGGAAACCAAGTCCCGACGCCGCGGTCAGACGGACCTCTAGCCGCGTCTGCCTCAATGCCGCCAGCTGCCAGGCCGCCCGTGACGCGTTACGCCTGCGCCGCCTCCTCGCCTCGTGACGTCACGACGCCCGCGCAGCTGCGGTCGCCGCCGTCGCACGAGTCTTTCCTTAGTAACCTGGGCGATAGCTGGTGAGTGTCCTTGACAGGGCCTCGAGGTGCGCGTGTGGTCTGAGTGCCAGAGACCCTTACTCAGGGACCTCTGGGGGACCTCAGGGGACCAGACTACCGTGCCCGACCCGTTCGAGTCCAGCTTGACCTTTAAGGCTGAGGGCGGGACCCGTAGCATCGGAGCAAGTCTCATGGGGTGGGGGCGGGGTTCCTTTTACCAGCTAGGAATTTAGGAGCTGCTGGAGGAACTTACTAAAGAGTAGCCTCACACTTGACGGGAACGTTTGAGGTTCAGAACAATCCCGTGGGAGTAGATATTATTACCTCCCATAATGAAGAAACGGAAGCTCAAATAGGTAATTTTACCAGGGTCACGCGGTCAGAAAGTGAGGGCGCTTAAATTCAGACCTAGGTTTATCTGACTCTTAAGCCTGAACTTTTAACTACTACTCTGTGCCACCCCGTGACAAAGCAACTGTCATTTCAGTGGCCCTTCTCCATTTACATAACCCTGATAAATAGTATTGTTATTTACGTTTTATAGATGAGAGTTTGACCGATTTAAGGTCACGTGTCTAGGAAGTGCTGGAACCAAGACTTCTTTCAGAGTTTTCTGTAAGTTTAGTGCCTTTTTTTGTTTCAAACCACACCATTGCATTTCCCCCAATTTTGGAAAGCTTTATAGTTGGAAAGAATGAAAACCTGATCTGACCCCTTCATTTTATGGTTGAAACAAAATCTAGGAGAAATCACTTGGTACAAGTCACAAGTCAGTGGTAGAGCTGCCGCAAATGCTTTTTGAATACGTGTGATTATGAATCTAAATGACAGATGGCAGGGAGTGATAAGGTAGGCATATTGGAATCCAGGTGTCTTAACTCTTAGGCAAAAGCCCTTTCTCCACCTGTCTCATTCTTTCTTTGGCCGTGCCAGGTGCATAATGATTCTGTGTATAGTCAGGTACTACAAGTACCTTTCTTTTAACCTGGCACTGCATTCAGAGAAGAACATGCTCTACTATCTCTAAGCAAAAGTGTGGCAAACCAAGAGAGTGAAGGCAACGCTGGGAAGCCCAGAACCTACCATAGTAAGGGTAGATTCCAATCCTATTCTGGTTGACCCTAGACAAGGAATTAATCTTTCTGGACTTTCACTGATGTATTCATCACATTCACAGTGTCTTCTGTGTTCTGGCAATGTACTAGGTACTGGGGATACAACAGTGAACAAGAAAATCATAGATTAGTCCTTGTAGTGCTTATAGTCATATGGAGGGAATTAATCAAATAATTACATAAATATTAGCTTTTGGTTAAAAATTAAGTGCTATGATGAAGTTAAGGGTGTTGTGAAAGCAGACTACAGGACACTTGACCTAGTTGGGCTGTAGGAGATGGCCAAGGAAGCCGTCCTCTGAGGAAGTGATGGTTAAGCTGAAATCTGAAATAAAAGCGGAGACAAACAGTTAAAGAAGTGAGGGAAGATCGTCAAGGTGATTCAATGGCATGTTTGAAGACTCTGGAGCAGGGGGAGCACTGGAGAAGTGAAAGATCACTTTTCTTATTTTGTAAAATACCGGTGGTGATTAACACTGTTTAGTTATTATGAGAACCAAATAAGATGATACATGTGAAAGTATTTTATATACAAGGGCCTGTGTATATGCACACTCATAAAAGTGCTTATGTTATAAGCTAGTATACAGCTGGATTGAAAGGAGTTGCTGGGACTGGATAAGCCAGGACTTTGGTTTGGTCATCTAGCCAAAATTAAAATGAACCTTCTGTGAAGAACAGGGAAATCTTTTGAGATCCTTAACTTTGGAAAAAGAATGTGTGCTTCAAGTAGTTAACAGAAATGTTTCAGTCTGTAATCTCAGCACGTTGGGAGGCCCAGGCAGGTGGATCACGAGGTCAGGAGATTGAGACCATCCTGGCTAACATGGTGAAACCCCGTCTCTACTAAAAATACAAAAATTAGCTGGGTGTTGCGGTAGGCGGCTGTAATCCCAGCTGCTTGGGAGGCTGAGTCAGGAGAATCGCTTGAACCCTGGAGGCAGAGGTGGCAGTGAGCCGAGATCACACCACTGCACTCCAGCCTGGGCGACAGAGTGAGACTGTGTCTCCAAAAAAAAAAAAAAAAAAAAAAATTCCGGCCAGGCGCGGTGACTCACGCCTATAATCCCAGCACTTTTAGAGGCCGAGACGGGCAGATCACCTGAGGTTGGAAGTTCGAGACCAGCCTGGCCAACAAGGTGAAACCGCATCTCTACTTAAAAAATACAAAAGTTAACTGGACGTGGTGGCGGGTGCCTGTAGTCCTACCTACTCAGGAGGTTGAGGCAGGAGAATTGCCTGAACCCACAAGACATAGGTTGCAGTGAGCAGAGATCGCACCACTGCTCTCCAGCCTGGGTGACAGAGCGCGAGACTCTGTCTCAAAAAAAAAAAAAAAAAAAAATTAATAGTCGGGATGCTGTTATAATAGCTACAATTTATTGTGTACCCACCGGATGCCAGGCATTGTACTGTGTGTATGTGTTTTGTTGCTGGTTTTTTTTGTTTGTTTTTTGTTTTCTGAGACGGAGTCTCGCTCTGTCACCCAGGCTGGAGTGCAGTGGCACGGTCTCGGCTCACTGCAAGCTCCACCTCCCGGGTTCACGCCATTCTCCTGCCTCAGCCCCCCAAGTAGCTGGGACTACAGGCACCCATCACCATGCCTGGCTAATTTTTTTTTTTTTGTATTTTTAGTAGAGACGGGGTTTCACTGTGTCAGCCAGGATGGTCTTGATCTCCTGACCTCGTGATCTGCCCACCTTGGCCTCCCAAAGTGTTGGGATTACAGGTGTGAGCCACTGCTCCTGGCTTGTTGCTGTTTTTAAGAGATTAGGTCTCACTATGTTGCCAAGGTTGGCCTTGGACTCCTGGTCTCAAGTGATCCTCCTTCCTTAGCATCCCAAATAACTCGGACTATGGGCACCCACCACTGTTCCCAGCCATGCTGAGTGTTTTATATGCATAGTATAGCAGTTAACAACATAGACTCTGGAGCTGGATTGCCTGAATTCAAATCTTAGGCAGATTTTTGCTTCTGTTTTCTTATCTGTAAAGTGGGAATAATCATAGTACTTACTTCAGGGTTATCATGAGGCTCAAATGAGTTAACGTGTGTAAGTCACTTAGAATAGTTTCTGTCACGTAGTCATTGTTATATAAATGTTAGGTATTGTTGTCATTATTGTTATCTTTTTAAAGCCTCATTAATATCACTATGATGATGATGATGTGGAAGCTGTAGCTCAGAGAGGCTAAATGACCTCCCCAAGGTCACACAGCTAGTAAGTGGAGGAATTGAGATTCCAGTTCCAGGCTGTGTCCAGAGCTCAGACACTTCCCCACATTGCTTCTATGTATAGCTTAATTTTGTTGGCGAATACTTGTGATCTCAACAAATTTTTCTTCAACTTTAATTCTTTTATCTGTGCTGAACAGAATTGTTAATTTGTACACCCTTAAGGTAAAGGACCTAAAGGACTGCCTTTATTGAACTTCCACTTTGAAATTTTCTGACTTCTGCGCAATTAAAATCTACGCCTTATGCGTTTCAGCAATGTGGTTTATTTATAGAGTTGTCTTCCGGTTCACGTGTACTGGGTCTGCTTTTGGGTGCTGCGTTTTCTGTCAAAGGTTGTTTATTTCTAACCCATTTTGATTTCCTGTTGCTTTGTGAGTTGGTATTATGACCTGCAACAGGAACACCAGGAAACCTATCTTAAATGGAGCAGCCAGATTGAGATCCTGTAGACTAAAATAAAAAACTACTCATTATTCTGCAGCCATATTTGGTTGTAAGTATGAATTAGGCATTGGTTTTATTAGGGAAATACCTAGATATAGAAACTTCACTCTGAGCCAAACCTCTGTGAACAGTTCTGCTAAAATAGAGCTTGGCTATTAGCTCCATGTCCTTGGACAGTGACTTAATCTCTCTGAACCTCAGTTTCAACGTCTGTAAAATGGGGATTATTATATGTTCTTTGTGGCATTATTGAGAGAATTAAATGAAATAATATGGGTAAAGCAAACAGTCCAAACTTGACCTCAATTAATAGTAGCTATTGATACTAATAAAGAAGAAAAATATTCCTTTTTTCATCAAATCTGTTTTTATAGACTTCATACACTGATCACTAACTTCTAGTATCCCTTACTATTAAAAATTCCGTCAAGAGAAGTTATTTGTCTTGTGCTACTCATTTGCTTTAAAAATAATAGCCATCATTTATTAAGCTGCTATATTCCTGGCACTATGTTAGTTGTGTATATGTATTCATTATTTCATTTTATTTTAAGTTCAAAGTTATTTTTATCATTGATGAGGAAGGTGATGCTCAGAAGAGTAAATTGCCTAAAGTTGAAATTTACATCCAGGTCTGACTAATTGTAGGCTATTTTGTACATCATTATTAACATACAAGGTTTCTTTATTGTGTCTGACCCTGACATAATAGTTTTTGAGGCCCGGCATGGTGGCTCACGCCTGTAATCCTAGCACTTTGGGAGGCCAAGGCGGATGGATTTCCTGAGCTCAGGAGTTCACGACCAGCATGGGCAACATGGTGAAACCCCGTCTCTACTAAAAATACAAAAAAATTAGCTGGGCATGGTGGTGTGTGCCTGTAATCCCAGCTACTTGAGAGGCTGAGGCATGAGAATTGCTTGAACCCGGGAGGTGGAGGTTGCTGGGAGCCAAGATTGCGCCACTGCACTCCATCCTGGGCAACAGAGTGAGACTCAAGTCTCAAAAGATAATAAAGATAATATTTTTGTAAAAGTTTGAAAGAAAAGGTGATAGCTTTCAACAGGTATTATTTTGGGGGGCTTCTGCTGTTTGCTAGGTACTGTGTCAAGGGCTTTACTTGCATAACCTCATTAATTATTCCCAACCCTAAGAAATGAGTACAATTATTCCCATTTTACAGTTGAAGAAATCAACGAGCAGAAATATTAAGGAGTATTTAGTCAGTAATGGAGCTGGGATTGGCTTCCAGGTCTTCTGACAGCAAAGCCCATGTTATTCATTCCATTATGTTGGATCAAAATTTTAGGATGGGATTTTTTAAAAAACATAAGATGTGGGACTGTTACTCAAAGGAAGCAGCTTCCAGGTATTTGATGCTAATTGTTCTTAATTTTTAGCTGAGCCATAGCAACATTACTGCCAGAAGCTATTAATGATATAGTTGTCAGTTAGCTAGGGCTGTGTTCTATCCTGAGGTAGTTGTAGGCAATGGCATCTTTCCATGGTCAAAGACCTCAGATGTAGAATGCGTAACTTATGTTAACACAGTAAAGAGTGGCATTTTCCAGAGCTCTAGTTCTATACCATGGAAGACCTCAAACCTCGATCATGCTTTAGACTCACATTAAAGGGCATCCTAATTGGTAATCAGTGCGTAAGGAACCAAAGAAAATTTTAATTAAATGCTGTCGTGTGAATTTTTCCAGTCATTTTATGCCTGTTGAGATGGTTTTCTTATTTAAAGTCCTCTTCTAGTGCTCTGCCTTCTCTCTTTAAACTTTATCAAGATTTTGTGCTTTTCTCATATAAGGGTTTAATTAGAATCATTAAAATTTTAGTCTGCTGCATATTTGCTTAATGGGCATTTTGGTGCAGTGGAAAGAACTTGGGGTTTGGAGTCCAAAGTGGGGAAGTTACTTAAATCTCTGTAAGCCTTAGTTTCTTCATTCTGTAAAATGAGGCAAATAATACTTTCTTCTAGGGCAGTTGGGAAAAGGATTAGAGATAATGTATTTAAATTGTCTAGTACTTAGCTCAGTTTATAGGAATTGCTTGATAATTAGTACGAATTATCTGAAGTTGCAATACGGTCTCTTTTACTTAGATCTGCTTTTTGTCTTATTCTTTTTAGTGGATGTTTCCAAGGATCGTCTTCAGTCATGGCCTTGGGATTAAAGTGCTTCCGCGTGTTCCACCCTGCCTTTCGCAATTATCTTGCAGCCTCTATCAAACCCGTTTCAGAAGTTACACTGAAGACAGTGCATGAAAGACAGCATGGCCATAGGCAGTACGTGGCCTATTCAGCTGTACCAGTCCGCCATTTCGCTACCAAGAAAGCCAAAGGTAGAGACATGTGATGTTCTCTCCTACTTCACCCCTTTCTTAAATTTGGCCCTTGAATTATAGCTGGCAGGTACCTCAGATGTACTGAATTTCTCCCCTTGCTAACATGAGGAAATGGGGCCTCAGCTATTTCATTTGATTAACTTAAAAGGTTACAGTGGCAGAGATGGTGTTACAACCCAGTGCCTGTTTCCTTATTACCATGCTGCCTCATTTGTTTTCTTAGTAGCTCAGAAAATGCCTAATTTCTTTCTTTTAGATTTAGAGTTAGAGGTATAAGTGCCAAGCGAGCCAGAATGCTTGTAGCAGGGATCAATATATTGTCTCCATATAGGAAGATACATGTTGGAAGTATAATTAAGACCAGAAGGTTGTTGGGTGAAGTGGGTATTAGAGTCATGGATTTAGATGGATGATCTTAATGGCTTGTGTCATCCAAGAATGAGACTTTGATGTACTGCAGGTCTCAGCTTAAATGCTACTTCCTCTGGGAAGCCTTCCCTGACCTCTAAGACTAGGTCAAGTCCCCTGTTAACTGCACTCGTGCATTCTGTTATTTTACCTTTGATGCACTTAAAACAGCAGTGATTAATTAATTAAATGTAAGATTGATTATCATTTATCTGCCTTCTATGCTGGACCTGATGAAGGTAGGTTCTATATTGTTCTTATTTAGCACCTAACAGGGCCTGGATATAGTATTTTTGACAAATTTTGTTGAATGAAAGAATGAGTGATAGAAAATTGTCAGTCACACCAGCAATTTGCAGTGGTGGATTAGGGAGTCCTCCCCCAAGAATGGCGCTAGATATATGCTGCTGAATATTTTCCCACTGACTCTTCTTTTCTGATTTCATGCAGATCTTCCCCTTTCTGTAATAGGAAAATTAACAAATTGCTGAAAGAACGGTAATGCTTAGAAGACTTATATTCTGTTAACAGTAATAACCTTTGATCTGTATGTTACATTATATTTTTTAAAGTTTCCATACATTTACTAATTTTATCCTTATAATTATCCATTGAAGAAGTAATTTTCCATTGAAGAAATCCTTATAATTATCTAGTTAATCCAGATCTCACCATTTTATAAACGAAGAAACTGAGATAATTAGTGAGAAATTTGCCCATGGTCCTATATAATTAATGGCAGAACCAGAAACTTTAGTTCTTGATGCCTACAGTATTGCAGTCTTCTAGTACACTAGACAGTGACTACAGTGCATAAGCAGCATTTTTTCATATTTTGTGGGCTATTCAGTTTTGTCTTCTTTGCTTGCCTCTATAAAAGTTGGTTAAGCTAGGTGCTGTGGCTCACACCTGTAATCCCAGCTACTCAGGAGGCTGAGGCGTGGGAATTGCTTGAGGCCAGGAGTTTGAGATTAGTCTGGGCAACATAATGACACCTTGCCTCTTAAAAAAAAAAAAAAAGCTGGGCCTGGTGGCCTGTACCTGTAGTCCCAGCTACTCAGGAGGCTGCGGTGGAAGGATTGCTTGAGGTGAGGCGTTAGAGCCTGCAGAAGTTGGTTGTTTGACTTTTTCTTTTAGATTTATTTGATTCTTTCTTTTATATTAGGGATGTTCATTCTTTGTCAATAATATGTGTTACAAGTATCTTCTTTGCTTTTTACTTTGTTTATGATGTTTCTGTTGAAATGGGTTTTAATGTCATATTTTTCAGTCCTTTATTAATTGTGTCTTCTTTAAGAAATACCTCTCTGTTGCAAGGTAATTTATTTCTGAATATAATGTGAGGTAATTTTTGAAGTTTCCTTTTCAGGTGGATAACAAGTTGTATCAAAATCGTTTATTGATTAGCCTACTCTTTACTCCCAGATTTGTAATGTCCCCCCGTTGTGTGAGTTTCTTTATATATATGGTATTGTTTCTGAGCTCTTGGTTTTATTGAACTGCTTATCTCTCCCTGCAGTAAATTTCATACTGCCTGACTTACTGTCATAAAGTTCAATTTAGTGATACAAATCTTTCCCCTCACCACACATATGCTTTTTCTTCTTGACTTTCTCCTCTTCTATATGAAATTTATGATCATAGTGTCAAGTTTTCTCCAGACAGATCTTGCACAAGGCTAGGAGTGGTGGCCCACACCTATAATCCCAGCACTTTGGGAGGCCAAGGGTGTTGGATTACTTGAGCTCAGGAGTTCTGACCAGCCTGGGCAGCATGGGGAAACCTTGTCTCTACAAAAATTAGCCAGATGTGGTGGTGCATCCCTGTGGTCCCAGCTACTCGGGAGGCTGAAGTGGGAGCATTGCTTGAGCCCAGTAGGTCAAGGTTGCCGTGAGCCATGATCATGCTGCTGCCACTCCAGCTTGGGGGACAGAATGAGACCCTGTCTCAAAAAAAAACAAAAAACAAAAAAAATCTTGTGTAGTTCTTTAATCAGGTTTATTGCTGGGGGAATCTTATCTTTTTTTTTTTTTTTTGGTCACTTTTATATATGTTAGTGTTTTGAGTTATATATAAAGAAAAATGTGTACATAAATCATAAGTTTGTGCTTCAGTGAATTTTCGCAAAGTGAAAACAATCATGTAGTCATCACCCAAATCAATAAATAGATTGTCACTTGTATTTTGGAAACTTACCACATGTCCCTTTGAGTTGTTACTCTCCCACTATAAGGATACATAACCCACTATATTGACTTTAACACCACAGATTAGTTTTGTCCTTTGTTAAGTCAGTATGGATTTTGTGTCTGACTTCTATTGGTAGTAATCTATTTGTGACATATGTCTGTGTTGTGCACATAATGGTTGTTTGTGCATTTTTATTTTTTTAATGATATTCTACTGAAAGTATATACCACAATTTAATATCCATTCCACAGTTGACAGACTTTTGGGTTGCTTCCAGTTTTGAGCTAAAAAAAAAAATGCTAGTATAAGCATTCTTGTACATGTGTTGTGTTGCACTTATGTCCCTTTCCATTCTTCTCCCCTCCTGTCCTGTTGTCCCCCCTTCTCTTCCCCCCACTTTCATTGGGTTGGCTAGGAACTCTAGTATAATTTGAGTAAATGTGATTGGTGATAATAGGCATCTTTGTTTTATTCCTGACTTTATAGGAAACACTTCTTATATGTTAATGTTAAGAATTATGTTTGTGGAGAAATCATATTACCTGACTTCAAATTATACCACAGAGCTATAGTAACCAAAGCAGCATGGTATGGGCATAAAAACAGATACGTAGACTGTGTTAGTCCGTTCTCACGCTGCTATGAAGAAGTACCCGAGACTGGGTAATTTATAAAGGAAAAAGGTTTAGGCCAGGCACAGTGGCTCATGTCTGTAATCCCAGCACTTTGGTAGGTCAAGGTGGGTGGATCACTTGAGGTCAGGAGTTTGAGACCAGCCTGGCTAATGTGGCAAAACCCTGTCTCTACTAAAAATACAAAAGTTAGCCGGGCATGGTGGCGCATGCCTGTCATCCCAGCTACTTGGGAGGCTGAGGCAGGAGAATTGCTTGAACCCAGGAGGCAGAGGTTGCATTGAGCTAAGTGCCACTGCACTCCAGCCTGAGTGACAAAGCAAGACTCTCACAAAAAAAAAAGAAAAAAAAATTAAAAAATTAAAATAAAAAGGAAAGAAGTTTAATTGACTTACAGTTCTGCATGGCTGGGGAGGCCTCAGGAAACTTACAATCATGGCAGAAGGCACCTCTTCAGGGGGGCAGGAGAGAGAATAAGTGCCCACTGAAGGGATTAGCCCCTTATAAAACCATCAGATCTCTTGAGAACTAACTCACTATCAAAAAAACAGGATGGGGAAAACCGCCCTCATGATTCAGTTATCTCCACCTCCCCCATGAGAAGTGGGGAACTACAATTCAGGATGAGATTTGGGTGGGGACACAGCCAAACCATATCATTCCACCCCTGGCCTCTCCCAAATCTCGTGTCCTCATAATTCAAAACATGATCATGCCCTTCCAGCAGTCTCCCAAAGTCTTAACTCATTCCAGCATTAACTCAAAAGTTAAAGTCCATAGTCTCATATGAGACAAGGCAAATCCCTTCTACCTAACCTGTAAAATCAAAAACAAGTTAGTTACATCCTAGAAACAATGGGGGTATAGACATTGGGTAAATACAACCATTCCAAATGGGAGACATTGGCCAAAACAAAGGGACTACAGGCTCCATGCAAGTCTAAAATCCAGTAGGGCAGTCATTAAACCTTAAAGTGCCAAAATGATCTTCTTTGACTCCATGTCTCACATCCAGGTCATGCTGGTGCAAGAGGTGGGCTCCCATGGCCTTGGGCAGCTCTGCCCCTGCGACTTTGTAGGCTACAGTGCCCCTCCTGGCTGCTTTCACAGGCTAGCAATGAGTGTCTACAGCTTTTCCTGGCACACAGTGCAAGCTGTTGATAGACCTACCAAGTTCTGGGTTGGAGGATGGTGGCCCTCTTCTCACAGCTCCACTAGGCAGTGCCCCAGTGGGGACTCTGTGTGGGGGTTCCAACTTCACATTTCTCTTCTGCACTGCCTTAGCAGATGTTCTCCATGAGGGCTGTGCCCCTGCAGCAGACTTCTGCCTAGACATGCAGGTGTTTCCATACATCCTCTGAAATCTAGGCGGAGGTTCCCAAACTTTGATTCTTGTCTTTTGCGCACCCGCAGGACCAACACCATGTGGAAGCTGCCAAGGCTGGGGGGCTTGTACCCTCTGAAGCAATGTCCTGAACTATACCTTGGCCCCTTTTAGCCATGGCTGGAGCAGCTGGCATGCAGTCCCAAGGCTGTACACAGCAGTGGGGGGCCCTGCACCTGGCCCAAGAAACCATTTTTCCCTCCTAGGCCTCCAGGCCTGTGATCGAAGGGACTGGTAGAAGGTGTCTGACATAACATTTGCCCCATTGTCTTGGTGATTAACATTCAGCTCCTTGTTAAATTATGCAGATTTCTGCAGGCGGCTTGAATTTCTCTCTAAAAAATGGGTTTTTCTTTTCTTTTGCATTGTCAGGCTGCAATTTT